TGTATGCCACACACACACACACAAACACACAAACACACACTCTTTATTGTATAGTGGCTCACAGGTTAGGAGACATTGACCTGAGTAAGCCGTGTGCTTAGTAGAAGTTTGCTGTTTCTACTTTGGGCAATAAACCATGTTTCCATGTTCTCTTACTGTAATGTGTTCCCAGGTGTGTTTGTTTATGATTTTAATCCCTAAGTAGTGTTGCCTAGTGTTTTGGCTCTTTGTATGTCTATCACATCAGGGTGTGCAACATCAGTTTTGTTAGTTCAGCTGTCACAGCAAACGTGTGCATGGTAGGATAGATTTACTGTACAGTCTAGAGGGATAAAGAGTCCAGAATGGATTGGACAAGCCTCCTACCCACAGATATTGTAAAATTTAGATGGAATGTGGCATGGGGGGAGATAAAACAAAATCCTTCTCTCCCTCCCTTTCCCTACTCTTTGAGAAATAGATTTGGATTTGGAAATATATACTTAGCAAACATTACGTAACAAAAAGGATTGAACACAAAACTTAAAAAACACTTTCCATATGAGAACCCTTCCTTTGTAACCTAAAGCAGGATGATGGCAGAAATTCTACCATTTATGCTGACTCTAAACCTTCAAATGGACCTCCTTGAGAGAAAGGTTGTATAAAATTCAAAGTGGTAGTATTGTAATACTGGCATGAGGAGCCAGGTTTGGATTTTAAAGAAGGAATGAATTTGGCCAGTCAATAAACATTTATTGAGTGCCTGCTATATGCAAAGCACTGGGGATACAAAGAAAAGCAGAAGACAGTCTCTTCCCTCAAGGAGGTCACAATCTAATGGGAGAGACAACATGCAAAAAAAAAAACCTATGTACAAACAGGCTAAAGACAGGATAAAAAGGAAATAATCCACAAAGACAAAGCACTAGAATTAAGAGAGAATAGAAAAGGCTTCCTGTAGAAGGTAGGATTTTAGCTGGGACTTGAAGGGAAGACAGAATCAGGAGATGGAGATGAGAAGTGAGAGCGCTCTAGGCATGGGGGACAGCCAGAGAAAATGCCAAGAGCAGTGAGATAGAGTGTCTCCTGTAAGGCATAGCAAGAAGGCCAGAGTTGCTGAATCAAAGTGGAGGAAAGTAAGGTTGAAGAAGACTGGAAAGGTAGAGGAAGGCTAGATTATGAAAGGATTTGAATGCCAAACAGAGCATTTTGTATTTGATCCTAGAGGTCAGAGGAAGTCACTGAAGTTTATTGAGTAAGGTAGTAAAAACCTAGATAGAAGAGAATCCCAAGGAGAAGAGGCTAATCAACAGTGTCAATGGCTATAGAAAGGTCAAGAACGATAAGGACTAAGAAAAGGCCATTGGATTTGGCAATCAAAAGATCACTGGTAACTTAGGAAGGAACAGTTTTGGTTGAATGATAAGACAGGTTATAGAGTTAAGAAGAGACCAAGAGGAGTGGAAATGGAGGCACCTGTTGAATACGGCCTTCTCAAGGAGTTTATCCACAGAGAGCAGAAGAGATATGGGGTGATAGTGGGGATGAGAGGGGAGACATAGGCATGTTTGCAGTCAGTAGGGAAGCGGTCAGGAAGAGACTTAAGACATGTGAGAGAGGGAATGATAGAGGTGGCAATCTGTTGGAGGTGATGAGATTGAATAGGATCCTTTGTGCAGGTGCATGGGTTTGCTTTGGTAAGAAAAAGGGCCACCTCTTCGTATGAGAGAGGGGTAAAAGAAGAGATAGTGGAAGAAGGCATCTGAATGACATATTCAATCTACTCCAATAAACATTTATTAAGTGCCTAATAGATACCATGCATTGTGCTAAGTGCTGCAGATGAGAATAACAAAAAGATAGTCTTTTCCTTCTAGTGCCAGTACAATTTGATTGTTGAATTTTCAGAATGTTTTGAGGTTGTATTTTGATAGTATTAATACATGTCTACCCATTCTTCAACTGTGGAACTCTTGCTTTAAATAATTTATATGCTCTGAAGTTGATGATGAATATTGTCTCTTTTTGCTGACAGTATTCATCACCATAGTAAACATTTGACCAGAAAATATCATTTGACAGGACTCATTTAAACTCATTTCCTTGTTAATTCCCCAAGGCACTTTAAAAAAACAACAACCCTACAAATCCTTTGTGAGAGATCTGAGACTTATTTTCCTGTCAGAATGAATTTCTTCACAAACTCATGAAACTATTTTATTCACTTCCTCCACTGCTGATAATTTGATGCTTGACCAGATAGTTTTTCAGCCTTTATGTTAAAAGCCTAAGGGATGTTTCAAAGAAATCTTTGCTCCATCTTTTGTTCCTAAATTTGCACACTGGCCTGATTTTTTTTTTTGAGAAAGAAAGCCCTTGGCTCTAATTTCTATCATTTTTGAGCATGCTATATGTGTATACTATGGTAAACATCTAAACCAGGAATTTTTCACCTTTTTTTGTGTCATGGACTCTTTTGTCTATATGGTGAAGCCTATGGGACACCTCACAATAATGTTTTTAAATGCATAAAATAAAATACAAATAAATAAAAAGGAAGTCAATTATGTTGAAATACAGTTATCCAAATATTTTTTTAAAAGTTCAGGGGGCAGCTAGGTGGCGCAGTGGGTAGAGCACTGGCCCTGTAGTCAGAAGGACCTGAGTTCAAATTCGGTCTCTGACCAGACACTTGACATTGACACTTACTAGCTGTGTGACCCTGGGTAAATCACTTCACCCTAATTGCGTTGCCAAAAAAAACCAAAACAAAACAAAAAAACAAACAAACCAAAAAAGTTCATAGACCCCAGGTTAAGAATCCCTGGTTGAGACTATGGTCACTATATACCTTGATTTTTATTTTTTAGACCAATTTGTTTTTTAATAATATTTTATATTTTCCCTAATTATATGTAAAAACAATTTTTTAACATTTGTGGTTTTTTAAAATTTTGACTTTCACATTTTCTCCCTCTCTTCCTCCCCTCCCTCCTCTTTGAGACAGCAAGCAACCTGATATAGGTTATATATGTGCAATCATGTAAAACATATTTCCATATTAGTCACTTTGTGAAAGAAAACTTGAACAGAGAGAGAGAGAGAAAGCATGCTTTGGTCTGCATTCAGACTCCACCAGTTTTTTCTCTACAGGCAGATAGCATTTTTCATCATGATTCCTTTGAGATTGTCTTAAATCATTGTATTGCTTAGAATAGCTAAGTCTTTCAGAGTTGTTTGTTGTACAATATTGCTGTTATTGTGCACAATGTTCTGGTTCTGCTCACTTCACTCGGCATCAGTTCATGTAAGTCTTTCCAGGTGTTTCTGAACTCATCCTGTTTGTCAATTCTTATAGCACAATAGTATTCCATTAGACCAATTTGTTAATAGAAGTTAATATAATTGTCTTGTACTGTAGTTTTTGTGGATTTGCCTTACCTCCCCCTATGATACTGTGAACTCCTCCAAAGTATGGACCATATTTTATCATCTCTGGGTCTTCCAGGGTACCTAGCTGCTGCCATAATAAGCATTCTTTTGATGAAAAAATGTAAGTTAGGAATCTCCTCAAATGTTATTTCTTACTTATACTTGTAATTGTGGGCAAAAATCTCCAAGCATTGTGGGTATTATGGAGATATAGTCTGTGATTCCCAGAAAAGAAGCAAAATGTTTGGGGATAGCTGAGAGAGATGTTAAGGGCCTAAAAAAGAAAGAAGCCATAATTTCCCCCAGGAGTTGTGTATCTCACTCTATTCTTTCCCAAACACTTTAACTTCTACATCTTATAAAATTATTAAACAACTTTGAGGTATGTGTGTGTGTGGAGGGGTATCATGGTTCCTGTTTTACAGATGAGGAAACAGATTTGGTGAGGGTTAAGTGACTTGCCCAAGGTTGCACATCTAGTTAGTAACATGGCCAGGAATAAAATCAAGAATTCCTGATTCTTAATTCGGTTCTTTTTCTATCACACCACATGTCATACAGTCCCCCAAATGGAAATCTGAGTATGAATGAATGAACAACAATAAAAAAAATCCATTTATTAAGCTCTTAATATGTGTTTAAAACTTTGCTGAGGGCTGGGGATTCAAATATAAAAATGAAGACAATCTCTGCCCTCAAGAAACTTACATTCTTATGGAGGAAGTAACATAATAGGAAAATGGTGGCCAGCAAGGGGTATTTTGTTGTGGAAAGTTACAGAGATGCGATAATGAGTGAAGCCATAACAGAAGCAATGGCAATATTGATTTGAGAAGAGTACAGTAACAATAGTACCATGGCTGGCATGAATATGGGGCAGTAAAGTATGGCTTGAGGCTGCTTAGCTATAGTGAGTGGGCTACCAGAAGCACTTACCAATAAAGACAGCAAGGGCTCCAGGTTGGGAGTTCCAAAGTTGAAAATTTAAATCTTCAAGGCCATGGTCTCTGACCCCTGAGATAAAGCAATTGGTGAGAATATGGTGAAGTTCAGTGAAGGCAGTAGCTTCTTTTCCCTTCCTTTCAGAATTTTGTGTACCTTATTTAGTCTCTACTCCTGAAAGTTTCTATGCCATCTTAGCACTTGATGACATCTTCTGTCACTGAGGACCTCTCACAAAAGATAAAGGAGTTTCTAAGAATTCCTCCTAGGATCAGACTTTGTGAAATCCTATTCTATTCCTAAAGAGACAGGAGAAAAAACCTGCAGCAGAGTTAGAAAAATGTGCCAAATGACAAAAGTAGTGGAAGAGTCATAAGAAAGAATGTGGGGTGGGGGTGAGGAGTAGGGAGAGAGACAAGATTGACAGGTAGGTATGAAGAAACTCTAAATTTAGGATGAGAAAGTTAAGTTTGACGCAGAGGATATTTGAAGTAGTGGACATAAACTGGTTGTCCCAAATACTACCTATAACTAAACTAATTTGAACTATTAAGTACTTGTAATCCTGATTTGCTTTTCTATAGTATTAGATTAATGATGATTATTTGTTTTCTTTTTCATGTAAAATGACTGATCCAAAACAGCTTCAGATGGAAACTCTTCAATCCCACATGAAAATGAAATTTGCCTCGACAAGACAAAACAGTGTGCAGTGGGAGCAAAAGTTGATGCTAATGATGAAACAGGACCAATCAATCACCTTCTAGCTGGGGAGCCCAGGGTTGTGAAGCCATTGGCAACTGATGGTACTAGTTCCACCTGTGAAGAGGAATATCCTGAGAAGGCAGGGTCCCCAGGCTCTGAGGAAAGAGTTCAAGCAGAGTGTCTGAAATCAGCAGATAAAGTTAAGAATCCAGGAGCATCTAAGGAGTCTGTTCCACCTATATCTGCTGGAAAAAATGAACTTCCAGGAACAGAGGAAAAGGATAACAGGGAAATGGAGAAAGGTACTCAGCCTGTAGGAAAATTTGTCGAGATTGAAATATTTGGAACTATAAAGGAGATCAAGCCACTGATAACAGCTAGTGAAGTAGAAGCCACAGAAACAGGAGAACATAATGAGCATCGAGGAGTGGCTGAAGAAGCTGATCCCCAAAGAACAATGAAGGAGAATAAGCATCTGATAACATCTGAAGAAGCTGAACCTCAAGAAACAGTCGAAGATATTCAGTGCGTAGATACTGATAGAAAGACAGTAGTGTCGGAGGAGAACAATTATGTGGGAACAGCTGGAGAGACTGAAACTTCAGGAACACTGGAAGAGACTGAACATGAGAGAATCGCTGAAAAGACCAAAACTGAAGGAACAGGTGAAGAAACTGAGCATGAGGAAACAGCTGGAAAGACTGAACCTTCAGGAACACACGAAGAGTCTGAGCATGAGGGAACAGCTGGAGAGAACAAAACTTTGGGAGTGATGGAAGAGACTAAGCATGAGGGAACAGCTGGAGAGACCAAACCTTCAGGAACAATGGAAAAGGTGACTCTGTAACAGGTGAAAAGAACAACTTTCAGGGAACAGTTGAAGATAATGAATTTCCAGAAATACTGGGGGAGGTTCAGCCTCTTGGAGCTCCTGGAAAGAATAACTACTCCAGAACAGCTAGAGGCACTGAACCTCCTGAAAGAGTGGAGAAGACTCAGTTGGTAGAAGCAGTTGGAGGCATTAAACCTCCCCAAATAGCTGAAGGGACAGAGGAAAACATGAAGCCATTGATGGAAGTAGCCAGGAAAATTAACATGAATGAAGAGAAGCAAGCAATTGAAGGTAATGGTTCTGTTGTTCAAAATTCAAACAATTTAAGCCCTGAATTCTATAAGGACAGCCATCTGGAAAGTCACACCCAAGTGTCTAGGCTGTAATATAGTCACCCAAAACCACATCTTATGTTGCTGGGAGTGGATGTACTTTGAACCAAAACTACTTTTCCTCATTAGAACTTCTGTTCTGTCGTCTTGGTTCAATGATTAGATCTAGTTCCTTGGTGAAAATTTTCTAAAACACAATGGGTCCACCATATTTAAACCAGAGAAGCAAATAAATAAAGTTTAGAATGCTGATGCTTTTCAGGTTTACCTTCGATCATAGCTTATATATGGTATGGGAGAATATCAGAATAGACAGCTGAGGGGAAAAAAATTGTCATGTGTGTGTGTGTGTGTGTGTGTGTGTGTGTGTGTGTGGTGTAGAAATGGAGGAGCAACTTGGCATTGAAAAAGTCGTTACCATTGCCTCCAGTTGTCCTGATCTATATCTTGCCCAGATAGATTGGGAGGAGAAAATGAGGCTAATGACTTTGCACAGCCTTCCCTCACTTAAATCCAATTTACTTACAAATCATGGCATCAACTTTTTGATGTCATGGTCCTCTCAAGATGAACAACAGCAACTGCTGCCTCCCTACCCCACTAGAATTCTTTTTACCTTTAGGACAGAACTAGAGAAGAGCCCCTCTACCTGGATGCAAGTAATATTTTATTTTAACTCTAGAGTGTTCAGGTCTTTAAAAAAATGTAGTATGACATTATTCAAGGAGTGAGTCTAACTTGATTATGTGTAGCATCTCTGGTACCCTAGTGTGCTTAATAAGGAGAAAATAATTTTCTGCTCAAAGAGCAACAAAAAGTTGAGGGCCACATTACCATTTTGCCAATATGTTTCAGTTTCACATTAAATCACCTTCTTTTATGAATATTTGAAACTTTAGCTATTTCTCATTTCTTAATATTTACATGGGATTTTCTACCTTTTATCATATGCTGTGCTGTCATTTTATTTTTATTTTTCCTGCTGTCATTGTTTTAGCCTTAATTCTGTATCCTGACTTTATAGGGAAGTGATTTGCCTCTGGGCACACACTTCCTCAGGGCAGAATAAGACTAATGCTTGGGTTCCAGTCACTGCCTTTCTTCCCTGCCCCTGCTAACTTACCCACCCTGCCTCATACGTATTCTTGAAACTGAAAGTGTAAGCTCTGTTAGAGCTCAAACTACTTGGTCATCAGCTAATGTTGGATAATGGTATCCTGTCATGATCTCTGTGGTTACTGTTTCCAGGTGAGACGGGAGAAAGGGTGGAAACTGAGACGCACAGTGAGATAGTGAGTGAGGGCTCTGAAACAAAGGAAGAAGAAACGGGAGAAGCTGTGGATACTACTGCAGCCACAGAGACAGGTACGTTGACAGAAGGGTGAAGGGCTACACCCCACTCGCAATGAGAAGACAGGAGAACCTTAGTAAGGCTTATTAGCACATTTCTTATCATTCTTCTAACTTTTCCTTTTATTGAATGTTTTTGTACAGCCTTAGGTTCTATAAAATCAGATATTCTATTCAAGCTGGAGTCCCGCCCCTTCATTTTATAGATAAGGAATCTGAGGCCTAGGGAGATGAAGGGGCCTGCCCACAGTCACCCAGGCAATAGCGGAATCAACTCCTGGTCCTCAATGTCCTAATACTTGACCCAGCCGGTCTAGTCCCTACACCTTGTTAATGTTTTTATAACAGTGAGAATGGTGCTATCATGCCTTTTTAATGCAGTCTTGTTTGGACTTGTTCCTAAAACTGCCAAGGCAATTTAAATTATTTAAAAATAACAAAAAATTCATAAGTACACCACAGGATCATAAAACTTCAGCACTAGAAGCAGCCTGAGAGATCTCTGATTCTGAGACTCAGAGAATTAGTACTTACTTGAGATCATACAGTTAGTGAGTGGCAGAGCAAGGATTTAATCCTAAGCAAAGAATCCTTGTTAATTATTTATTGAAGCAGTTAGGTGGCATGGTGAAGGGAGTGCTGGACTTGGAGTTAGGAAGACCTGAGTTCCTCTCCTGCCCCAGACATGCCTATTATCTGTGTGACACTGGGAGCAAGTCACTTAACTTTCTGGCCTCAGTTTCCTCACCTGTAAAATGGAGATAACAACAGCACCTACCTCACAGGGGTGTTGTGAGGATCAGATGAGATAATATGTGTATGTGTGTGTGCATAAAGCACTTTGCAAACTGTAAAGGGCTATATAAATGTTAGATATTAGTATTATTTTCTCCACAAATTTATCTATCCAATCTTGGTAATCAGTGCTCATTCACCAAATGTAAAGGAAAAAAAACAGAGGAACTGAAAGAAGAAAATGTAAACCTTTAATTACAAGTGAGTAGAGAAGGAGTAGAAGAAAGAGTAGCATGCTGTGGACCTGAGTGTACATACATACATACACACATGTTCCTATATACATACACCCATTCGCACATCATGTACATGTGTGCATGCATACACATATTTGTTAGTGCAATCACACAGCTGTGATGGCCACACACAGTTCACAAATATTCCATCACTCAAAGAATCCTACAATTTGCTGCAAAAAAGAATCTTAGAGATCATTGAGGCCAACCTGTTCCCTTGTTTTAAAGACATATATCACCCTAAAAGTAAATTTCAGTTTTAGTAATGATTTACTCATTTATGAGTATGTAAAATAAAACAGCAAAAGTTATTGCCAATAACTTCAAAGCATGTTACTTGTAGAAGGTTAAGAATTTTCCATGCCCAAATTACTCATGTTTTTCAAGTGCTGATTTCATGTTTGTATCAGAGGAATTCCATTTGGTTGTATCTTTTTAAAGACATACCCTGTGTCCCAAAATCCTGTTATATCTTTAATTTTGTTTTAAATATATTTCAGAGTTAACAAATAGCAAGAAATAAGATCCAGATGCTACCTGTGCAGATTCTACACTCTTCATCTTGTTCAGCTGTTTAAGTGAACATCATTTTACAATCTTTTGACTTTTGGGGGTGAGATGGGAATATAATATCAGAACTTTACAGAGAATTTATAAGCTTTTATAATTGTTAAAAAAAATTTGCCACAAAAAAGTCACCTTTCAAGAATTCTTCAAAAGTTGCCAAGAGACTTTGACAAGTAGTTGCATATGTACATTTTCACTTATCTGCCACAGAGTGCCTTGTATATGTTAATATCCAATTAGAATTATGTTTTTGAAACATTTTTGTCTGGAATGTAAATATATTTTGTATCTTTTCAAATTTGAGTTAGACTCTTCTAAATTCATTTTTACATTAAAACAATAACTACTGAAACCTCCTGTTTAAGTATTTAATCCACAGGTATACAAAATTATCAAAGACATTGGCTTATTTTTTCTTATTTAAACAGATTAGTACTAGTTCATGACCCAAATTTTAAAATGCTGATTTGTAAAGTAGATGATAAGTTACCAGAATAGTTACCCTTCCAGAAAAGGAAACATAGAATATGATCTTCAACTTGTATATTTTATGCAGCTTTTAAAAGTAAATTTTTAAAAAATCAACATCATGATAGAATCTCCATTTATCCGTAGTAACCTATTTAAAAATGTAATTTTTTAAAATGACTATGTAGAATTACAGTAAAATCTAAGAAAATCTTTTTTAAATGTCAAGACTGATGACATTATGCCATAGCTTATTAACAAAATGCATTTTTGCAACTTTAAATTTTAATATTTTGGAACCAATGACTGTATTTCTTCATTAAAATTATCAGTGAAATGAATTTTTAAGTTTTATGCATGCCTTTTGTCTTTCATAACACGGTTATTTCCCGATACTCCCCCTTCCCATCCCGCCGATGACAAAGAAAAGCAAAAAGATGGAAAAAAAAACCTAGCCTGACAACATTCTGTGCTTACAGTCTCCCACCTTTCTACCAAGAAGGAGGAAGTGTCTTTAATTATCTGCTCTCCAGGTCCAAGATTGGTCACTGCAGTTAATTTAAATACCTGCCGGCTTTTGGTGTTTTCTTCATTTACATTACTTTTGTCATTCTGCATGTTGTTCTCATAGTTCTGTTTATTTCACAATTAGTCAGTTCATACCAGTATTTCTAAGTTTCTCTCAGTTCCTCATATTTGTGATTTCTTACAATGAAGTAATATTCCATTATCTTCATATGCCACAATCTCTTCAGCAAATCTCCAATCAATTAAAAAAAAACTGGAAATAAAGTAGTCTAGTTTAAAACAATATAGGAATTGATGGTGAAATTTTACAAATTTTAAAAAGGCATTAGCATTCATATCTGAGATTCTTGTAGGGCCCATTCCATCTATTTAAAAAAATGTATATTACACAGCTGACACACAAATAGAGCTCCTTTTCCAGAGAATATATTTACATTGTACATGCATACAATTGCTGAAAATATATTTTGAATTGTTTGGTGATTCCATTGTTTACAAAGGATGATTGCAGTCATTTATAGGTAAAATACACCAAAAGCTGATAGGTATTTGTGGTATTTTCTGGATTTACTCTTTAATCATTGGACTAGTTCCTAAGTCATTTTTTCATTAAGAGATTCAAAAGATTTATCCTTTATTTAACGGGCTGTCACATGAATAACAAAACTCAACACATGCTGCTCTTTGCCTTGCAAAAAAGCATTTTAAAAAACAACCAATTATTTCCTCAAATGGAATTATTTCTGTTCCTTATGGCTTATGAACCACTGAATATTTCAGAGCTCTCCATACCATGAAGGGACATTAGTATTCTTATCTCCATTTTGCAAAAGAGGTACCTTGAGCAAATGTCTAAATGTCTCTAAATATGTTTCTCATTCAAGGTTTCCCAAAGAATTACTAGCAAAACTGGGTTTAGAACTGAGTTTTCCAGACCTTGTGTACCTCCTTTTTTCATAGTAGCCTGCCCATTATGATATCGTTATTAAATTCTCTGCAGCTGGTTATATGGGGGATCATGAGTAGATGATGTCCTAAGGGAGAGATATCTGCAGAAGATGCCAAATGCAAACCTGGAAGCATCTAGGCCAGACCCCAGCAAATAGCCCTTTGATCTGCCAGTAGCTCCTTACATTGGGCTCAATGTCCTATGGGTAATTTTGGGGGAAAATAAAGGCATTTTAATCTCTTCTTCCTATTTGGCTTTGGAAAGAAATTGTTGAAGGTGAGGTGGAGTTGAATACTCTGACTCTATTGCTTTTTTACTGCAAAGATACTCTGGACAATGCTAATAACCTCAGAATAGTCAAAACAGGCATGCTAGGCTTAACATCTCTGTAGCACTGTTCTGTATTTGGCACTGACTTAAAAACTGCTTTTAAAGATTCTTTTAATGTATTTTATAGAACTTAGTGCTAATGAAAGGAAGTTAAATAAACCATGAACAGTCTGGTTAAAACCAAAATGGAGTTACATAGGTTCATAGTCAGTTAAACTTCATTTTGAAGCATGTAGCAATGATAGGGTTTCTGTTCATGAAAAATAATAACATTTGCAGGGACCTGTTTTAGCCATTATTGCAACGATCCTGCTTTGCTCAAATATAAACAGGTGGTTTGGTTTGGTGAGCAAAACGTGGATTCTGGATTCTCTTTCATAAAAGACAGCAGCTTGGAAATCCCTACCAGGGGTGGGGAACCTTCAACCTCAAGGCCACACGTGGCCTCGAGATTTGTTCCACGAAGTTTGGATTCAAAGGGCCACACTTGAGGACCTAGAGGGCCACGTGTGGCTTCGAGGCCACAGGTTTTCCACCCCTGCATTCATTTATATTGGCATACCACTGCAAGTTAATTAAACACTGAGAATTAGATACAAGGGAAGATTGGATACCATTGTGCTAAAGCTGCCACAGCATTTTTCTTGATGAGGTCTACTTTAATCTCACTTTGCAGCCTACCCTTCCCTTTCTGTGTTTATACAAAGTTAGAACATTTAGTTTTTAACATTCTCAAGGCAAAAAGAAGACTTTGATTGTAACGCAGAACTAATCCAGTCAGAGGGAAGTGTTTAGTTCTGTGAATGTCTCTGCGGTTTTTTCTTTCAGATTTATCATTGGGGAACTCTAGTTTCCCCAAGTATAACACTCCCCACTTACTTTATTGGGAAGGACTTAAATCAGTTCTTATAAGCCGTTAACACCTAACAACTAGGGAGCTTCTCCTGTGCCTTGTAAATGCTCCAAGTTCCCAGGTGTTATGAAGCCAGTTTTGAATGCCTTGTAAAAGGCACCTAGCCATTTATTAGTGTGAACTTACTAATGACGTTTCCCCTCCTTTTCCCCCTGTAAAATACACAGTGTGTTGTTGACATTCATAAGCCTGCCATCCCTGTACATCACCCTGCCTAGAGATTAGAAAGTATTATTAGTAAAGAAGTCCATTTTATGGGAAATATTTTTTGCATTGAAAAAAATTTGTTTCATTAATCTTAGAATGTAGATACATTTCAGAATTTTCTTTTGAATAAAGCACAAATAATTGTAGCCCCCCAAAAGTACAATACACTGTTTTATCATTATGGGAAAAATCAGTGGAAATTAAATTGCTTTTTCTTAGATATATGGACCCCAAAGAGCCCTGTTTTCTTCAGAGAAATTAAAAGACGGTGAAGGGAAGAGCCTCTCACGTGCTTCCCTTAGGAAATTCTTAAATATTACAAGGTCTGGATGTGGTTGGAGGCTTTCACCCCCACTCCCCACCACTCTCACCACAGATGTACTGAATAAAGGCTAGAAGAAACTTTAGAATATCCTATCTAACCCCTCATTCCATTAAGTGACTTAATGAGGACCCTCTAGGTCCTCAAGTGTAGCCCTTTGACTGAATCCAAACTTCACAGAACAAAGCTGCTACAGCAACTAGGTCTCGTCACTCAGTGCTCTTTACTGAGCTCAAGGGCCAAATGTCTACTACAAATTTGACCAAAGAACTAAAGGGAAGTGTGGTGGGAGAGGAAGCTAGAAGGCAGCCTTGGTTTACAAGCTAAGGTTTTGTGCATTTTTGCCTTCTTTGGGGTCAGTAGTAAAGAGTCTTAGGTAATCTGGATTTCTGAGGTATATTTTTCAGTGGTTCTGGGGAAAAGTCTTGGTAAATAACATAGTGTCCTGGTGGTAGACTGGCTTTGGAGCCAGAAAGCCTGGGTTTTAATTTTTCCTCTACCACTTAATGCCTATGTGATCTTAGGTAAGTCAGTCACTTAATCTTAGTAAAATGAGAGGAACTGGAGTAGCTGATCTCTTTGGACTTTTTCTGCTTTAAATCCATGATCCTTGTTTTCTGGCCTGGCAACAAAAAGCATAGATTTTTCTGCATTGTTGTTTGTTTGCAGTAGTTTCAATAGTAATGAATGAGGCAGGAGGGAGTTTTCTTACTTTTAAAAAATGTTGCAATAACATGTCACCGAGACAGTTAAAAAGATAAAAAGCAGTTTGGTGTTGCTGAACACTTTAGGCTACAACAAGTGAACATTAAACATACTCATTTAAGAACCACTCATTTGTTTTGTGAAATTCATTTTTGCATGGAGAATTTAAATATAATATTATATTATGGAGGAAGTGCCAACAATTCTTAATTTATGTGTAAGCATTGTTGCATGTGTAAGGGAGCAACCAAGCCTAAAGTGTTCAGTTTTCTTCCACATGGCTTAAGAAGGGCAGATTTTTAAAATAATTTCTTTTTTTATGCACAGAATCTTTGTATCTTTCAATAGGATTTGTTTTTTATTTTCTTCACTTACCGATGGATTAGAAACCTTTGGAGGCAGGGACTGTATATCTTCATAACCCTCCCCACAGCAGCTGGCAAAGTATCTTATACAGGAAAGGTGCTTAATAACTATCTGTTAAATGAATAAATCTCTTCCCTGACATTTACATCTATATTCATGGCAATCTTCTCTCTGTCATGTTACACAGAGGTTATGGTTAAGTGAAGAATTTATTTAGCAATTTTGTTTCCCTGTAACTTGTAACCACCCATTAGTCTAATTCTACTGTGTGGGACCAAGCAGAATAGGTCTGATTCCTCTTTTGTAAGATAATCCTTTGAATATTTCAACACAGCTATCATGCTCCCTACCAGTTTTCTCTTCTCCAGTTTAACATCCTCATTTCCCAGATCTTGAACCAGGGTCTGGCTCATTGGAAATGATTGCAAGAGAGATAAGGGGAGGAGGACCACAACACTCAGAACTCTTCTGGTTCATCTACTCCTCCTCAATTACTGTCTCCCCAAAGTGGGAACTAAGTATCTCTCCCCACAGGATACCAACGTCTTGGCTGCCTTACACATTAATTGAGTCTGGGAGGTAGTTGGAAGAAATCTTTAAATTCCCTTGCCAGGGATGAACTTGTATCTGGTGATGACTCAAACCCTCAATGGACAGTCTTGATCCTTGGTTATGCTCTGCCTGTGTCTCACCCACCATCAGCATAAAAAAGGAGAAATGGGTGACCAGGGTGCCTGAATTCAGACAAGCACGCTTGTGGAGGGCAGAAGAGGATAGGTGGAGGATGTTGGCTCCCTCCTTGGACCCATCAGGGCATGGCCTATCTAATACTTAGCAAGGATAATTAATTAAAAAGGGACAGTGTCCTTCTAACTTTCTCCTGCCTGTCTACACTTCTTGCCTTCACTTCCCTCCCACTCCTCCACTCCTTGCATGCTGGTTTTCAACTCCATTAACTCAACTGAAACTGTTTTCTCCAATGTTATCAAGGATCCCTTAATTTCTACGCCTGATTGCATTTTCTCAGTCTTCATCCTTCTTGATCTCTGTAGTTTTTAATACTATCCATTCCCCACTGAGGGATAATCTCTCTTCCTTCAGCTTTTGTGACTGGCTTTTTTGTCCTGGTTCTATTGCCCATCTACTCCTTAAATGTCTCTTTTGTGGGATCATTTATCTATGTTGTTTTAACTGTAGGCATCCCAAGGTCCTTTCCTGGCCTCTCTTCTATTTTCTCTCTGTGATCTCAGAAGTTCTAATGGGTCATCTCTACCATAGTCTCTCTCTTTCACTTGTAGGTGTCTCAAATTCAATATGTCCCCAAATTAAGCTCATTTTTTCCTCTAAAACCCACCTCTCCTCCAAATGTTGCTGTTGTGCTTGTGAGTACTACCACCCTAGGTGGTTCAGTGGATAGAGTTCTGGGCCTGGAGTCAGGAAAACTCTTCCTCCTGGGTTCAAATCTAGCCTCAGATACTTATTCTCTGTGTGACCCTGGGCAAGTAATTTCTCTTTTATACTTCTCTGTGTGACCCTGGGTAAGTCATTTAACCCTGTTTGTCTTGGTTTTCTCTTTTCTTTTACTTCTTTTTCTTGCTTTTACCAAGAAATTTTTACAATTTACAATTTTAATTTAATTTACAATTTAAATTAAATGTAGTTTTACAATTTAAAATTTAAAATTAAATTTAAAATATTTAAATTTTAAATTTAAGGTTTCTTCCTGACTCCAGGCCCAGCACTCTATCCACTGAACCACCTGGCTGCTCCTCATTGAACCAACAAGCATTTAAGTGCTTACTATGTGCCAGGCTAACTACTGGGATACAAAGAAAGGAAAAAAGTCAAATGTGACCTCAGATACTTATTAGTGGTGTGATCCTGGGCAAGTCACTTAAGTTCTGTCTGCCTCAGTTTCCTCATCTGTAAAATGGGGATAATAATAGCACCCACCTCCCAGGGTTGTTGTGAGGATAAAATGAGATAATATTTGTAAAGTGCTTTGCAAACCCTGACGTGCTATATAAATGCTAGTTGCTTTTATTTTTTTAAAAGCAAGCACATAACAGCCTTTCTGAGGTTTTCTGATGATTTTTACTTGGCACAAAAATCAGAGATACAAGCAGGAGGTGACAAGGTTCCTTCTTCTGCCTGACCTTTGTAAATTTTTTTCTGTGTATACCCTGGAGACAAAGGCAAAGATGCACGTATATGACAACGGTGGAGAGAGGGAAGCTTGGTGTAATAGAGAGCCAGAGCTCAGTCAGGAAGATCTGGGTTTAAAGACTGCCTCTGATCATCTACCTGTGCAAGTATCCTACACTCTCAGTGTCCCACACAGCTCTCCAAGACCAAGTTGCAGAATAGTTGCTAAACTGCATTGGTAAAGATAGTCTCTCCATTGGGAATTCCCTGCACTTAGTGAAGTCATGGGTCTGGTTTACCAAACATCAGCGCTCGGTGTTTGGGTACAAAAGGAAACCTGTAAAGACCATCCACATTCAGACTGTCCTGGGCATTTTGCTGTAGGGTAGGCTTGATGTAGGACCTCTGAGGCCAAAAAGAAAAGGGGGGCTGGGGAAGCAACAGCTGTGGTCATAGAGAAGCAGAGCAACGTTGTTGGGGCAGCATAGTAGGGTGAGAGGAATTGTCCACAGGGCTTTATCCTTTGCTCCTGCCTCACCTTCACCAGTTTTACCATCAGACTTCACCATGGACCAGCCCTGGGATGAGGTGAGGAGAGTGGATGGACAGCAGGATTCTTCTAGACAGCAGCAGGTGAAAAGTAGGGATAGTTGGCAGAAGGGTGAAGGGAAAGGTCTTATTGACTTCTTTTCTTTTTTGGCTGGTTTCACTTTTACGAGGTGGCCGTTTGAATGTAAGGTATGAAATTCAAAATTATTCCACCTGTACTCCAGTCATCATCTTCCTGAACCACTTGAACCATGGAACTCTGCCCCTGGGACCAGCCTGGGTTTTGATAGGTGAGCTTTTGACTATTCTTATCTAGAAGTGGGCCTCCATTTCACTTTCTGGCCATTTCAAAACCACCCCACCCCACAGCCACCCCCCCTTCTTTATGCTTCCTTATTCCTCCATTAAAATGTAAGCTCCTTAAGGGTAGGAACAGCATCATTTTCTTGTATTTGTATCCCTAGTACTTAACACAGCGCCTGACATGTAGAAAGTACTTAATAAATACTTTATCACGCAATCATTCATGTAAATAAGGGAAAGAAATTCAAGATCATGGTCCCTACCCCTCAAGGATCTCACATACAAATGGGGGAGAAAACATGCCAATAACTTGGTACATACTTGAATTTAAATCCAGCTTCGGATACTTACTAACTGTGTGACCCTGGGCAAGTCACTTAACATCTGTCTGCCCTAGTTTCCTCAACAGTAAAACAGGAAAATAATAATAATACCTACCTCCTGGGTTTTTGTGAGAATCAAATGAGGTGAGTAAAGTGCTTAGCACAGTGCCTGGCACACAGCCAGCATTTAATAAATGTTTGTTCCCTTCTCTTACATATAAGACATATACAATGTAAATGGAAGTTTATCTCAGAGGGAAAGCTTTAGCAGTGGGAAGAACTTGGAAAGGCCTCCGGCAGAAAAGGTGGGATTTGAGCTGGGTTTTGAAGAAGGCAGAGAAGAAAGGAGGCAGAACTGCAGAGGGAGAATATTTCTTGCTGTAGGTGGCATGAAGCTGGGAGATAAATTATGTTTGAGGAGCAGCACAGAGGCCAGTGTTGTTTCGGCAAACATCATGTGCAGGGGAGTAAAGTGGAAGAACATTGGAAAGGTAGGACCTGCACTTAGGAAGACCACTTTGGTAGCTGAGTGTGAAAGACTTGCGGCAGGAAGACTACTTAGAAGATTATTGCAATTATTCAGGTAATGAGGGAATGAATTAGGGTGGGATATATGAGTGAATAGGAAAAGATATACACACATATATGTACATATGTACACGTGATATTGTGAAGGCAGGGATTAGATATGTGGAGTAAGAAGTCAAAGATGACATCCTAGTAGGGAGAGCTCTCCATAGTAATAAGAAAGTTGGAAAGAGGACACGGTTTGGGAGGAAAGATAATGAACCACGTTTTGGACACAGACATTTAATCTGAGAAGTCCAAAATTCAGTCGGTGATGCAGAACTAGAAATTGGGAGAGAGATTAGGAATCCGAAACTCATTTACATAGAAAGGGTAGTTAAACTGCTGGGATTTGATAAGATCAAGTAAAATAGTATAGAGGGAAAAGAGAAGAATACCTAGGACAATGCCTTGGAAGACACACAAGGCTTTGTAGATGAAGACTCAGCAAAGGAGACTGAGAAGGAATGAACAGATAGGAAGTGAACCAGGAGACAGCAATGCCATGAAACCTAATGGAGAAGAGGATGATCAACAGTGTCAAAGGCTGCAGAGAAGTCAAAAAGGATGATGATGAGAAAGTCTTCAAAGTTTTAATTACCTAACCCAATAGCATACAATTCAATATGTGCTAGTTTTTGTTCCAAAAAGTTGGACATTCATATAAGTCCAACTTCCTTGGAAAAGAAAAGTATCCACATTTTATACTTTTCTTTGCTTTTTATTTAGTATTGTATTAAATTAGAGGTAGGTACCATAAGTGATATGAGTGTAAGTGATAAGATATAAATGACATATAATATGATGAAATCCACATTTTAATCCTAAACACCCAGACTTCATAATGTAAATATCATTAGATAAATTCTCTGATGAACAAGGCTGAAAAACAAGAGTCTCCCAGAATACATGGGGCACTGGTTAAGTGGATATTTGGACAGTATCTCCTACTTTTGGTATACCTGTCTGGGAGTTCCACTTTGGCCACCATTCCATATTTTTGTCCAGAGGAAAACACTGACTTCCTTCCTGGCTTCTAATACTAACAGCTGACTCAAGGAGCTTCATAATTCACAAGGCAATTTAAATGTGATATAACTTAATTCCCCATGACTACACTATGATAGAAGAATGACAGGAATTATCCCCATGTTACAGCTCATTGATTTAGAATTTAAAGGGATCTCAGAGGCCATATAATCCAAATCCCTTTTACAGAAGAGGAAATGGAGCCAGTAAGTTTGAAATGAGGAAACTATAGTTCAGTGATTTGTCCAAGGTCACATGGACAGTAAACGGCAGAACTGGTCTTCAAACACAGTTCAAATCTGGGCCCTTCCACTATGCCATAGTTCTCCTAGTGCAGGAATTCTTAACCTGGGGTCCATGGACTCCTAAGGGCTTCCTGGACAAATTTCAGGAAGTCTGTGCAAATGAGTAGGGAAGGAAATTATATCTTTATTTTCACTAATTTCTAACTCTAATTTAGTATTTCCATATTATTAATGTAAGCAACCCTCATTACTCAAAGAAAGGGTCCACGACCCCAAAAAAGCTAAGAAGCCTTGTATGAGTGGTACTATGACAACTCTTTATCCTTTAGGATAGGTGGAAGGGTATGTGAATGAAGTTATTTAAACACTGTTCCGAGGCTCCCCACCCCCATCTCCTCCCAGTCTGGCTGATTTCTTATTTCTGTTTGGCTCTCTGTTTTCCAATTTAAAGTTGTGATAACTTTCATTCTGTTTTGACCCCTAACTGGGACAACTTCTAAAGTTAGTCATTGAAATTCCATCTTGTCAAAGCTGAGGATTTTCAACAGAAGCTGCTAAAATTAGAAGAAGATGAAGAACCATGTTGGCCCCAGCCCAAATGACATTGTCAGCCCAGATGAGACTTCTTTTCTTAATCAGACACAAGTGAGTGGCCCCTGCACAGCTATCACTTCAATTTCCATATGAGCTCCCTGTGAGAAAATAAGCAAACAGATTCTATAAGAAATATAAACAATCTCAGAGCTCCTAAAAATGTACTATGTGCTGGTGTTTTCCAAAGCAGCACCCCCTTTTTTCTGATCGGTCTTTTTTAAAAAACATTTTTATTTAAAGTTTGAGTTCCAAATTCTCTCCCCCTATCCCTCCTCCTCCCTGAGATGGTAAGCAATAAGATATAGCATTCCATTACATTCATATACCACAACTTGCTCAGCCATTCCCCAACTGATGGGCATCCCTTTGATTTTCAATTCATTGCCACCACAAATAGAGCTGCTATAAAGATTTTTATACAAATAGGTCTTCCCCCCGCCCTTTTTAGATGTCTTTGGGATGTAGACCTAGCAGCAGGATTGCAAAGCAGCCCTTTTTAAAGTGTGCTTAGGATATTTCATACCCCAGTTAAACCACCACAATAACCTCCCTCCCCTCTCAATGCCACCTGTAATAAATCAATGCTTGGCAGTGGGTAGTCATGAACTGAAGTCAGTGGAAGCTATATTTTTGTAGAAAGGGGGGAAAAGTGGATTGTTAAATTCCCACCTAAAACCAGATGCTAGAGGAATAGCCAAGGAAAAAAGAATAAAGAAGACATTATAGCATAAAAATTCTGTCAGGGAACAGGGGAAAAAAGGCCAAGTATGAGAATAAGACTGTTAACTAATATTTATATATCATTTCTGAATTTCAGTTTTGTATACATTATCTTATTTGATTCTTACAACAATCCCTGTAAGGCAAATATAACAGCCATTATCTCTCCCCTTCCCCATTTTACAGATGAGGAAATGAGGTGGGAGAGGTTAAGTGACTTGCCCTTGGTCATACTAATTCCACATATCAGAGCCAGGATCTGAACCCAGGTCTTGCCTGACTCTAAGTTCTGGGCTCTTTCTACTATTCTCTGCCACCAAGTGCAAATGATAACCACAAAAACAAGCAAACAAAAAAAATGAAATAGAAACTATTTCCTCTAGTTTGTGGACTTCTTTGGAAGAGCAAAATAGACCACCTGCCTTCTCCCATTGATGGAATGATAGACTTTGAGAACCAGAAGAAACTGTAGAGATCATCTAACCCAATGGCTTTCAAACATTTTTTTTTTTGCTCATGGCATAGTATCCTTTGCCTTCAGGAACTGAGGTGCATTAAATTAAGTTGGCAACAACGTTGGACCCTATATCTGGGCCTTGGAATTCCTGTCCTCTCTTTCTTTCCTCTGCCCCTTACCCTTCCTCTTTATTTCCCCAGTACTTGCAGTGAAGAAGGCATCGGAAGACACAGATGAAGCAGCAAACAGCAGCGAGAGGTGGGCCTGGGGAAATTTCCAGGCCTGTCTAGTATAAAGCATATGTCTACTTATGACCCTTTTCCTACAGAGCAGTTAATGATGAAAAGGGCAGAAAGAGTTCTTGTATAAAAAAGGGAGCACTGACCCTCAAGACAGGAGGACCTGAGTTCAAATCCAGACTCAGACACTTGACACTTACTAGCTGTATGACTTTGGGCAAGTCATTTAACCCCACTGCCTAGCCAAAAAAAAAAAAAAGTAAAAGAAGGCAAAGGATCTGATGTATGCGATGAACATTTTGATGCTTATTAAGAGTGAAAAAATAACATTCTTTTAAGAAACACAACTTTAATACAAGATTTACACAGTTTTGGAAAGCAGCATAGAAGTGAGGACTCAGAAGTTGTCAAATGTGGAATAATTTCTCACTTTTGTGGGAATAGTTTAATGTTACAAAGAGGCAGAGAAACACCTTGTATTAATTAAAACTAGAAAAATGTGAGTTTGCAGAAAACAGTTTCAAGGGTACCAAAAAGACTATGTTGTGGGGACCTTTAGGGAGTTGCAAAGCATGATGGTATGCCTGCCAATTTGCATGTACATGCTTTATAACCAAAGAGGGTAAAACTAAGAAAATGAGAAATTCTACCAACTTCAATTGAAAAAGGACTGTTTATTTGATAGCAGAAATTTTGGGGGTTGTGACTTTTGATGATAAAGTCAGTAACTGAGTCAAGAAGTTCTCATTTAAGCTGTTGGGAAGGACAAGAGGAATCACTCAAGACAGCAGTAGGAAAAGAGGAAAAATGTGGAGAAAACTTGAAGTAACAGCAGGAGGGCTGAAGAGATGTTCCACTGGAGCATCAGAGAGGCAGCAATTAGGAGCAATCAGCTGGGAGGTCTCCACTACAGATTCCCAATTAGTCAGAGAAAGAAAGGATTTCATCGCAGAGTTCCAGTGACAAAAATTGCTCTTTAGCACCCCTTAGAGTTTGGGAAAGGCAAAGCTTTTCATGAGAGCTTGCTCTCCACTGCTATCTCTGGCTTGAAAAGGAAAAATAGAGGGGTTTCTCTAAGGGCTGTGGTGAGGGGCTTAAAGAATGAATAAACCTCAGCTGTGATGCTGTGAGTCCTACTCTCACTGGAAATCCCAGCATCCTGGTTAGTATATAACTGGACTGGCTGATCCATATAACCCAGAGATAGCCCAGTATTATAAGCTTGGCTTATAACAGAACTGTTAGTCATTCTCATGAAAAACTAACAGTTAAATACTCTTTAAAGGGTGATGGTTCATTGAAAGAGCTGATAAAGGTTATATTTGAGCAGAGAAGAGTATTTGCCCAGCTGATGAGGATTGAACAGCTAAGCAGTCAGCGAAGAAACCACTTGGTAGGTGGTGTAGATGTTCAGAAAGGACAAAAATCATGGAAACCTGCAGGCTAGAATTACCCTAAACACCTGGGTTTTCTTTCTTCACTTGTTTCCATGCCAGGTTCCCATAAGTATGTGCCCAGAGTTATTAAGTGCATTGGTGGGAGAATGTGGTCTAGGTCTATATGTATATCATGATGTATTTTACTGTTTGTGTATTTGCTTTAATATCAGTAATACAAAATTGTATTTCGTTATGTTTAAAACTTAAAAAGTATTATTGCTGTGGCTGGCCGGCTGTATAGACAGAAAACACAATGAATGGGAAAGCTAGAGTGGTCTGTAGGTGAAGTATTTCATCAAGAGTCACCTCTTGGATCCTGAGAGAATTTGAATATAACTGTAGTCTCTCTCTGGGAACTCAGATCTGCTAAAATAAGCACAAGTTAGAGGAGCGAGCCAAATTCAGAGAAAAAGTATCAATGTTTTATACTCCACTCTGTTGCTCTCACTGCATGTCATCTGCCCCATTACAGAGCAGGGGCACTGGAACAGGCCACATATCTCATTTTCTGGTGTTACATGCATGAAACTTGTGGCACGGTGTACCATTGTTATGAAGGACCATCAGCTTGGCATAATCTCTTCCTTCAAATGAAGAAATGAGGCCCAGAGAGTTTAAATAACTTTGTCTAAGGTTGTATATCAAGTTAGTGGCAGACTCAGGACTATTCTGAGTCATGATCCAGTGAAGAGAAAGTATAGTCATGCTGGTCATCTTGAACTTGTATCTGTTTTGCCACTTCTGGAGGTCCTAGTTTCACAGTGTACCAAAAGTTCTGGAGTCCTAGTGTGTGAAAATGAGGTTACCTTGGAAGGCTACCTTGGACTAAAGTTTAGGCAACTGGGTTTCAAAAACTCTAAGTATCAAGCAAAACACACACACACACACACACACACACACACACACACACACACAAACACACACCTGTTCCCCAATCCAGTACTCAAAATTTTACTGAGTTAAAATCAATCCAAAAACAGTTCTGATGGAAGAAATAAGGGTTGTTACTTACGAGAGGCAAAGCAGCAACTTGGTAGGTAGATCTGGCTGGAAAACTACCTTTGAAAACTAGAAATAAAATAATTCTGCATGAAAAGGACTAAACAGGATGAAACAGGACTAAATATTTCACGTAGGGTAAGCAAGGAAACAAGGGCCTCAGAGAGCAAGGAATGTGTATACAGCCCCATTTGGAGGTTACGTTAATATGCACAATAGAAGGTTTCAGGTTTTTATCTTTGATTATTTTTTGATGCACAAATCTTCACAACTGTAATGAGGATTCACCAAATTCTCCTCCAAATTGGTATTATTCTAATGCTGATTTCAGGTCTTTTGATCAATTTACATTCTCATCATTTTGCTTCTATTTAGAACTATTTTCATTAAGCCCCCAGGCCTGGAGTCAGCTGCATAAAGAGAAAACTCTAGAAATTAAAAGCAAGCAGGCAAATGGCTCATATCACAGAATCAATAATTTTAATTAATCACATTTTTAATTAATGAGGCTTAGATAAATTTTAAAAAGGAAGATCACCAAGATTTCCAGAGAAAGTTTGAGAATTATGGAGTCTCCAATGCTGCAATCCATTTCTTTAAAAAGTAGATGAGAAGAAGTAGATGTAAATGAAAAACAACAACTTACATTGCTTGTAGACATCATTAAAAAGATTGAAGTCATTTATGTCAGCCAGTAGAACAGTACTCTTTACCACTAAAGACACATGGACACAATCTCATTAGACTCTAGAACTTAATGGGATACAGCCATCATACTTTGAACAAATCCAAGGATTAATGATGTTCTCCCACTAAAAATCCTTTCCTAGTTTCTGACAAATTCCAGTTTACAATAAAACAACTGAAATCAAATCACTCACCATTACTGAAGTCACAGCCTCCAGCCTTGAGAATTTCTCCCACATTTACAAGAGCCTGTTGGTACAAAGCACAAAGCTGGAGGCACTGACAATTTTTGTTTCCATTTCAACATAAATGCTCCAGGTTGTTAAGTTTTAGAGATTGAAGAAACAGCTGTTCTTTCAAGAAGAAAAGTCCAACTGGGTTTTCCAAACATCTTCAAATGTTGAAGACAACAAATTATGTTCCTCTTAAGGATTTTCTTCTCCACCTAAAACATTCTTAGTTCCTTCAACCCATTCTCCTCAGGTGGTGTGGGTCAAAGCCCTTCACTATCACGGTTGTCTCCCTCTGGATACTCTCCAGGTTATCAATGTCCTTCTTAAAATTTGGTGTCAAGACCTGAATACAGTACTTCAGAGTAAACTATCATCTTTCCAGTCCTAGAAATTGTGGCCTTACAATAAAGCCGACGATCACATTAGCATTTTTGGCTGACACACTACACTGCTGATTCCCACTGAGCTTTGCCAGATGCTGAACCTCAAAGATCTCTTTCAGATGGATTTCTGCCTAATCATGACTCTCCCATTTCCTACTTGTAAAGCTGACTTTAAAAAATCCAACTGTTAAGACTACTTTTATTCTTATTAAATTTCATTTTGTTAGATTTGTTGTTAACTCCTTAAAAACCTGGCCCCTTCCTAACTTTTTGGTCTTCTTATACTTTACTCTTATTCAAATACTCCATGATCCAGTTAACACTGGCCTCTTTGCTGCTCCTTATACCTACGATACACCATTTCCCAATTCCTGGAATTCTCCCTCCCAGCTTCTCTGGCTTTCTTCAAATTTAAGCTAAAATCCTGTAAGAAGCCTTTCCCAGTCCTCTTTGATCTTAAGTGTCTTCCCTCTAGAATTACCCCCAATTTAGGCTACATATATCTTGTTTATACATAGTTGTTTGCATGTTGCCTCCCCAATTAAACTTTGAGTTCCCTGAGAACAGGACGTATTTGGTTTCCCTACCACTTGTGCCTGGTACATAGTAAGGGCTTAATAAATGATTGACTTGATTTTTTTGGGATCTCATTCTTGTCATGTAATAAATTGGCCATTTCTTTGTCATTTGACAATTTAATAACACGCCATCCTTTTATCCAAGTTATTGATAAAAATTTTGATGGCACAGGGTCAAGCACAGATACTTGGGTCACCCCACTACAGACTTCTTTCCAAGTTGACTTGGATTCCTTAATAACTATTTTTTAGGTCCAGTCAATTACCTCTGAATGCACCTGTCTACTCCTTCTTGTCTCTTTTTCTTCCATAAGAATAGGATAAGGGACTTGGTGGTTTTCAAACTTCACACTCTTAAAAATTAATGAGGAACCCCAACCCTCCCCAAAGAGCTTTTGTTGATGTGGGTTATATCTATTGATATTTATCATATTAGAAATTAAACCATTTTAGCAATATTATGACTTATCTTTTCTCTAAACATTTTGAAATCTGCTCCCCTAAAATCTAGGATGCATGTCAGACTCTATGCAGCTTTCCTATCTTATTTCCATTTAATTTTAAGATGAAAGGGTCACTTTCCCCAAGTTGCCCATATTTTGATGATCAACTCAAGAAAAACAGTTTCCTTCACTAGTTTACCTTTCAAAGGGCAAAATTATCATTAATATAAGTCTAGAAATTGTTTGCTGCTCTGCTGTGGCCAAAGACACATTTTCAGCAGATGTATGGATAATTACTCCACTACTGGATAACTGGATAATGCCTTTACTACTATCACGCTGCCATATGAGGTATGTGATCTGTTTCCTTACTTGCCTGGTTTTTCTTTCTGTCCAGGTGGTTTATAGCAGAGACTAATGACAATATCTATTCTGTTTCTGCCTCTGTTGGTTTTCAATCCAGAGCTTTCCATCAACTTCTTTCACTGTAGTTCTTATATTTGCTTATATGAATGTGTCTTCCTACTATAAAATGCTATACAATCTGTACAATATGCACATATATACATATAAATATATATTATACAATCCAGAGGTACCACTCTTTTATATGTCTTGTTTCTTGTGAATCAAGTATATCCTTCCAGAGATAGATTCCAGTCAGGACATCAGAAAAGGTTAAGACACCTTGGAATGGATGATCTCTAAGGTTCATTTCTGCTTTAGATTCTATGATTAGTTTCCTGTATATTGAAGTAAAATACTACAATTTTCCTTCATTCATTGAACTTTTTTTTTCTCTCAGAGCCAAAAGACCCTTTTACTCAGAGCCAAATCCGTTAATCTCTTCCCTCTCAGACAACTTTCCATCTACTCTGTATATTTTTTGTATGTACTTAGCTATTTACATGATATCTCTTCCAGTGGGATGTGGGCTTCTTGATGACAGGGTATGTTATTTGTCTTTTGCCTTTCTTTGTATCCCCAGCACTTAGCACATAATAGGTGCTTAATAAATGCTTGGTGAGTGAGTGAATGACTACAGTGGACCTTACTGGACATCCAAGTTGTTTTGGACTCAGGAAAGATCTGGGTTGTAAACTTGCCTGACCCTTGACCAGCTGTGTAAACTTGGACAACTAAGTGCACTGGATTTGGACTCAGGAAGAGTCAGAGCACAGGACCTGGAGTCCAGAAGATTCATCTTCCTGAGTTCAAATGCGGTTTCAGATACTTACTAACTGTGTGACCCTGGGCAAGTCATTTAACCCTGTTTGCCTCAGCTTCCTCATCTGTAAAATGAGCTGGAGAAAGAAATGGCAAATCACTTCTGTATCTTTGCCAAGAAAACCCCAAATGGGGTCACAAAGAGTTGGACAGGACTGAAACAACTGAACAGCAGACTTGGGTTAAAATCCTGCCTCAAACACTTACTGGTTGTGTTCCCTTGGGCAAGTTTATTAATCTTTCTGAGTCTCAGTTTCCTAATGTATAAAATGAAGGGCACTGGATTCAGTGCTAAGTTCCCTTACAGCTCTAAATCTATGATCCTATGACCTCTCTGGGTCTCCTTTTACTCATCTGTAAAATGGGAATAATAATATATGTAGGATTTAACTTAAAGGGTTGTTATGAGGATCCAGTGAGAATATTTATGCAGGGTACTTTATAAAAGTCAACTATTATTAAAAATTAAATTAAATCCAACAAGCACTTATTAAGTGCTTACTATGTGCTATGAGCTAGAGATAAAAAAGAAAAAGAAAACTCTCCTTGCCTGGGGGAATAGAACATTTTCACAGACAAATATATATAAATACATATATATATATATGTATACACACATACATATTTTCACAGAGAAATATAAGTATATATATATAAAACTGAAAATGTTTGATAGATAGATAGATAGAAAGATAAATAGATAGATAGAGGGTAGTTTGGAAAGAAAAGCACCAACAGCTCTTGAGAGCTGGAAGGCTTCTTGAAGTAGGCAGCATTTGAGCTGAGCTACTTAAAGAAAACTTGAGAGTTGTATTAAGCAATAACCACCTCCAATCTTGTGAGGTCCAGACCCATTTAAGGGATAGTATGCTGATTTAGATGTTCCTAGAAGGGCCAGAGGTTATTTGAGACCCAGAACTGTGTCAAGAGTTCAGCCGGGGTTCATCTTTGCTCTTCCTGTCATACTGTCCCCCTACAGTACCTCTAGCCCATCATCAGGTCCCTTCCTCAGGAGGGGGTAGCAGCTACAAGGAGAGTAAAAAGATAAAGCTTTTGTTCTCTAAAATGACTTACAGTAACAGATTCACTAAAGTCTAAGCCAAAAATGAAACAAAACAAAACACACTGTTGCAGAGATGGGACATTGCGCCAGTGCAGGCCGGAAGCTTGGAGATACTGTATCCATCTTTGTACTAATGTTTGGTATAAAGGGGCTTTCCACAGTGACTTCCCCAGGATCCCACAACTGGCACAGGGCAGAGGCGGATACCTAGAACCCAAATCTTTCTTACTTCAAGATGCCTAGGTCTCTATCTGCTACCCTGTAGAGCTATGCAAATTCATCCCTCAAAACTCGTTTACCTGTATGGCTCCTAGACACTGGCAGTCCCTACTAAGATGTGTATAACTAAGGGGAGGTAGAGTCTTTTGGGATTTCTTAAGATATACCTAAAAGAGAAATTAACCATAACCAGTCACATTTAATTATATCAGCTAGTCACAATTATCAGATTTGGGACCACTCAATATAATTGAGTCTGATGGCACACTTCATGTTAAGTATGCAGAGAAGAGTTTCCAACTGGGCAGAGGGGAATGATTTCTTACCTGTTTAAATTCTTCTGCCAGCCCTCCTGACACAAGCTTTCCACTTGTGGGATCTCTACCAACCTGTCCAGAGACATACAGTGTCCGGTTGATCAGCAAACCTTGACTAAAATTGGAGAAATATGGGAAATAATGTTGTCAGTGCTGAGAATCTATGCAAAGAGAAATTCCATCTCTATGTAAGGATGCACATTAATTACATATTTTTAAATAATTAAAAAAACTGAAAGCCGTGCAATTAAAATGTCAAGTTTGGCCCAAAGAAGAAAGGAGACAATTCAGCCCTCTTCAGTTTTCTATACAGAAATGGAAGAACTATGGGTATAAAACATAGGTGTCAAATTTGGTCCCCGGGTTGCCCACTAGATTAAAATGTAATTGTAAAATGTTTAATAAAATAAATAAAATAGAATATAACCTAGATAATGCTGATTTGTGGTTTCCTAAGTTAATATATGGCTCCCTAGGATCTGTTTCTACTTGAGTTTGACACCATTGGTATAAAACACTACATACATTATTAGACTCTGTTGGTATGTTGGTTACGTTAAATTTTTTCCCATTCTTTTTTATTCTTTGTTACAAGGAATGGATCCAGATCTGGGTGGGGGAGATAGGAGAGATCTATTTGAAATGAAGGTGATACAACAACAAAAGAAAGCAATATTTTTTTAAAAGGGTCCAAATGAATGCATGAAAGAATGAGTGCTGTGTGCAGCTCTTTCTGTGGTGGCAAAGAATTGGAAATTGAGGGAATGTCTATCAATTGGGGAATGGCTGAACAAGTTGTGGTATATGAATGTAATGGAATACTATTGTGCTATAAGAAATGATGAGCAAGTGGACTTCAGAAAAACCTGGAAAGACTTGTATGGACTGATGCTGAGTGAAGGGAGCAGAACCAGGAGAACGTTGTACACAGTAATAGCCATGTTGTGCGATGACTAACTTTGATAGACTTAGATCTTCTCAGCAATGCAAGAATTAAGACATCTCCAAAAGTCTCATGATTGAAAATGCTATCCACATCCAGAGAAAGAACTATGGAGTTTGAATACAGACTGAAGCATACTATTCGCTCTTTTTTTCCCTTCTGTTTTGTTTTGTTTCTTCTTTCTTGTGGTTCCTCCTATTGGTTCTAATTCTTCTTTGTAACATGACTAATTGAAAATATGTTTAATAGGAATATATATATGTGTAGCCTATATCAGGTTGCGTGCTGTCTTGGGGAGGGTAGTGGGGAGGAAGGGGGATAAAATTTAAAACTCAAAAGCTTATGGAAGTGATTGTTGAAAACTAAAAATAAATAAATTAATTAAAATTTAAAAAATAAAAAAACACTGGAGAAAAAAAGATTTTAAAATTTCCTTTATATGATTTTTTCGAAGTGAATTTATTTTCTAAATTGATGTGGTCCTTGGCTCTATGTCTTTCTACTTAGTGAAGATGTCTAATGCTTTCTGGTTGAGATTTTCAAGGATTCTTTAATATTTGGGGCAAATTATTTACATTGGTTAAACTGTTTTAGAAAATGTCTATTCCTTCATCCATTCCTATTTTTCATTGTCAATATCTGGTTTAAATACACCACAGTGTAGTCACTTCACTCTCTTATCTACTCATTTGGATGCTTTCTTTTAATTTGATACTGATTTTCACATTTAACCTAATAAGTCACTGATTTGATGATGTTTTTGTACATAGTCAAGCTTTTTCTGTAGCTTATTCAGAAAGAATGACCTTAGTAAGTAATCATTTCCTCTCTATTGGAATGTAATGAATCATTTTGTGTCATTAAAAAAAGAATGAATGCTGTGTACACAGTAGGTGCTTAATAAATATTTGTTGAAATATTTGAAAAGTTTTAGCATTTCTTTTCATAAACAAGGATTGCTACTTAGAGGAAGAAGTGTATAGAAAGACTCAGTCCCACAGCACTTCTAGCACAGGGCTAACTGGTTGATTAATAAAAAGCAGACCCTTCATTTCATTGTTGATGTTGTGTCTGACTACAAGTGATCCCATTCTGGTTTTCTTGGCAAATATATTGGAGAAGTTTTGTCACATAAAAATCTGTCATGAAGAGAATCTGAGGCACAGAGGTCTGAATATAATCTATTTATTAGCAAGGTTTGCCATTGCCAATAATAGAGGTCAATGGCCCTTAGGGGCCAGAGACACACCTTACAATCAGAGCAGCTTTTTATGTAGTTTGGTGGTTAGATAAGTTCCAAGGAAGCAAACTAAACCAAGACTGTGATTGATGTACAAGAAAGCTGAAGGTGGGCTATATAGCACATTGACTGGCAAAAGGGGTCTTTAAAGCATATAGGAAAACCCAGAGTTGAGTAACATCCTTTGGAAAGTCCTGTGCCAAATACCACGATATCAGAAAGACCAAGTGCTGAGCAAAACATCTCCTGACCAGGTTGATTTATCCACCATTCATCTTCCTTATCTCCCTTGAGAGAGAGAACCAGCTTGTAGCCTTTAATATTTGGGTATGTAAGCTCTTACAAACTCTGCTACTAAGGTCTACACTGATCCATACATATCAGTTACAGATATTAACTAAAAACTCTTAACAATTAATTAACCAGTTATCTATAATCAATTTCACAGTTTGCCATTTCCTTCTCCAGCTCATTTTACAGATGAAGAAATTGAGACAAATAGGGTTAAATTACTTGTCTAGGGTGACACAGTAAGTTTTTGAGGCCCTCCTTTTTTCTTTTTCTTTTGCTTTATTGTGAGGCAATCAGGGTTAAATGACTTTGACCAAAGTCATACCGCTAGTAAGTGTTATGTGTCTGAGGCTGGATTTGAATTCAGTTCTTCCTGATGCCTGACTCAGCCCTCTTCACCACCTAGCTGCATTTCATTACTAGGTATGAAAGTTCAACTGATTTTAGATTTTTCTTGGTTTGAATTTCATCAGCATGATTCCAAATGCTGACTACAAATACCAACAAAACAGAATGTTAAGAATGCTAGTAACACTTCTAACAAGTTTATCAGCAGTGCTCAGAGTACTGTCAGTCCCTGATTAGCTAGCTGGTTATATATAGATGAATGCACAAATGAGTGATGGATACCTCCTGTACCTTCTTCCCCAGTAGGGCTAGTTTGGAAAGGGGTTGGGGGAAACTGTCCCTAGCAGTGAGATGAGGCAAATGGCTTGGAAAGCAGAAAGCTCAGTCCAACGTCCAGCCTGGCAATAACTTTTGGATAGAAGTACTGAGTGTACAGAAAATGTGTTTCCAACCGGAAAAGCTAACATATTTGCTCCTAAATGGCCCTGACTCCTAACCCTGGCAATGGTCAGTGATATTCAGGTAACATATCCGGTGAGATTTTTTTTCTAACCAGTCTCGTGATTTCATTAGTTTCCTTGTTATTTCTAACTAGAAATAAGAGTAGTAATAAGCTCCATTTATGTAGCTTAATCACTTAAAGCAGAGGTAAACACTGCCAACAACCTTCTCTATGAAGCCAAACCAAATTAAAATATAATCAGGAAACACTTAATGAAATGAATTAAAACATAATAGACCATAGTGGTTTTCTAAGTCAATATACAGCCTATAAGGGATCTTTTTGTACAGTTTAGTCGCCCCATTTCTATTTCAGTTTAATACCACTGGTTTAAGGCACTTTCCTCACAGTAACTCTGAGGTAGGTATTATTATTGTTATATGGGCCATAGAACAGAATAATTGACAAAGAATCAAAACTGAGGGTAACCCAAAAAGCAATGGAGACACATGGCGGCTGTAAATACATTGTAGCATATTACCAACAATGATTTGGATGCCATAAGTGGCAGAAAAGATATCATTATGACAAGGGATGACAGATGGATGGCCAGAGTGCTCCACAGCTACCAGTGAGATGTCAGGAGAAAAGGAGAAAGATCTCAGGAAAATTGGGTGGACCTACTTTAGAGGACCTACTTTAGATGGGAGGACATGGATGGCTTGTACCTGCAACATTGAAGGAAATGTCAAATTAATAAACTCACAAATTCATCAGAATATTTTTGCATTCTTGGGCAAAGCAGATATCCACTCATTGGTGAATAGTTAAACAAATTATGGTAGAATGAAAAAGTGATATACACAATAATTCCTACAACATAAATATAAAAAAAGCAGCAACAGAACAAAGAAATAGAGATTGAATGCTTTGTAATTATAATGACCAAGCTTTGTTGCAATGAAAATATGAGAAGGTACCTCCTTCCTTTCTATGCACAGGTGAGGGGCTATGAAATGTAGAACACTGAATGTACTGGCCCAGCTTGAACGATGTGTTGGTTAGCTTTACTTATTTACTTTTGTTTGTTTTAATGAACTGCTTTCCCTTCTACGGCTTTCTGGGTGCTTGGGAGAGGGAAAATATATTGGGAAATGAATGTGATGTAAAAACAACATCAGTTTTTTTCTTGAAACAGGAGTTAAGCCAGAGAAAGAACACAATGGTTTTCACAAAATATTAAACAAAACAAACAAACAAAAACAACCTGTGGTGCAAAGAAGTGAGCCCATCAAGGAAAGCAGTATAAACTATGACTCCAACAGCAACAACAAAATAACATTCACAGAAATAATGATGATGATCATTATAATAAGTCTTCACATTTAAAGAAAATTGAGATTCAAAATGAATGGGATGTTCCAGTGAAGACTTCTCAGTGTAATTAAGGTAATGAGTTCAGAAGGTAGGATAGGCTTAAGAATAGATTTCTGTGAGTTATTTTTTTTAATGACATATATCAGTAGTTAAAATTTGTCTAGTGGTTAAGTCTTAACTTACTTTTTAATCTTATTCAAATGCATCTGTGCCCCTAAAGGAATCTAGCTCCAGAAAACTCTTAAAAGGTTTCTTATTTACTCCCCTTATCTCCCTTTGACAGGATCTTACTCAGATGTCTTCCAGTTCCCAGCATTGTCTGTTCAATCCCTAAGACCTAACAAAACAATTGTAAATTAGAGTCTGGTGTGTGAGATTGGGAGCCGAATTAACAGACAGTTGGGGGAGGGAAGGGGGAATTGAGTCTTCAGGGTTATATAAACTGATTTCTACCTCTGCGGGCTGTCTCCTCTCATCAGAGGCATTGGTGTGAGGACACCCAAATCTTGAGATTTGAAATAATATTAATAATTATAGCTATAATAAATTAACTTTCTGTTTCTCCTTGGACACCTCTGTGTTTTGTTTTATTTTTAATTTGAGTGGCATCCTACACAAAAATAATTAAGGGACTTGCCCAATCACAGAGCTAGAAAGCAACAGTGCCAGGGCTCAAGTCTTCTGACTCAACACCCATGCTCTGCCTCTAACTATTGAATATCTATGTTCACATTTTCCTTTCAACTCCATGGCCAATTTCAGTGTCAAGTTGCACATCATGTCTATTTCATACAAGGGATTTCCACTTGTTCTGGTTATTCCATTCCAGACAGCTCTCTCTATTTGTGTATTTCTTAATCTTTAGAAACTTGGATCTACCTATAATAAATTACCTTCATTTAATTGTCAACCACTTCCCTCAGAACTAAAACTACTCCAATGCAGAAGAAAATTATTCTCTACAAAATGGGAAAGATGATATCCGATCCAAACTAATCAGCATTTATTAAGCACCTACCATATGCAACACTCTGTGTTAGACGACAAAAAGGCACAAGGAAAAAGAGTCCCAGCCCTGAGAAGCTTCCATTCTACTGACTAGGTGGACCTGGCTTTATGAAAGTAACTTGTTGCCATTTCCTTTGCCCCTGAAGAATAAACTTCAGACACAAAAAATATCAAAGGCAAGAAACAATTTGAAAATTATAAAAACGGATTCTGTTTTTTATTAAGTAAGGTAAATGTTTTCTTGTCCTCATTTAGACAGAAGTTCTTAGCTTCCTTTGTAAAGCCAGCTATGCTACTTAGAATTGGTGCAGGAGCAGGTTATTAAAAATCAAAAAGAAAGTGAATTGATTTTACTTGCCAGTGCAGTCCACGTTTTCAGGGACTCATCTCATCAGCGTAATTAAAGGCTTACATCCGACCTCACCCTTAACACGTAAACTAAACTAAAACACTGATTATTGTTCTCAAGCTAATGCATTATTATTCACAAGCAAATGCATTATTAGCGAACACATTATTATTATTATTATTATTATTATTATTACTATTATTATTATTGTTATTATTATTACCTGTAGGGGCCGATGGCTTGTGGTGCCTTTTCTGTGCTGAGTACTTTTTCATTAAGGAAGTCATGACAAATTGTTTTTTTAATTCCCTCGTTGCAATTCTATGTGTCTAAGTTTTGCCCAGGTGCAACTAGTGACAGCAAAAGTAACCTTCGGATTTTTGCAGATCTGGAAGAGTAGTGGACGTGGTTAAGGCACATGCACTAGGAGAGTGTCTCGCACAGCATTTTGGGAATTGTAGTCTCATTTCGTTCAGTTTACACATGCGCACTTCTTCCAGGCTGTGTGGCTCCGGCGAGGCGGCGGTTGCGGAGTCGATCCCTTAAGCGGGTGGGTGTGTTACTTGTATCTTCTCAGCTCCTGCTCGCATATTCAGAAGGAAGTATTCCATTAACTAATATGTCGTTGTGTATGTCCCGGTTGTTCAACAAGGGCTATTTAACAGACTGGTGTGTGAAGTGACCTCTTCTGAAGTGTTAGGAAAAAGTTGTTTGGACGGACTGGGCATGCGCCAGCTGTCTTCCCCTCCCCCTTGGGTTCCTTCGCTCGCCTGCCCTCTAGCCCTGGACTAGCACTGGATGGAGTTAATGTTCAGGGTCAGGGGCTAAGCTAATGCACTACAGCTCAAATAATTTTTAGCCAAGGAGTCAGAGGAGGAGAGTTACACCTATTCCATCCGCCCCCTCTCAACGGCCCATCACCCAAAGTAGCAAATGCTACACAGAGTTTAATAATAATAAGAACTGCAATGCTTTAAACATCACAAAATGCTTTATATCCATTGCTTAATTGGTCCTAATAATGCCTATGGTTATTGTCGGTGCTATGTGTTGTAGATGTCCTGATTATTGTTAACAGATGAGGAATTTGAGGCTGGCAAGTTCAGGGGCTCATCCAAGGTCACTTAGCATCCTGAATTCCATTGCAGGTCTTCCTGAGTTGAGACAGCTTGGTATGGTGGGAGAAGCATTGGATTTGGAGGCAAGGATATGGGTTTATAATCCTAGCTCCCTTGATTCCTGTCTTTGATTTTGGTCAGGTCCCTTAGTGTCTCTGGGCCTCTGTTTCCTCATCTGTTAAGAGTTGGATTAGATGATTCTTTTAAGGTCCTATAGTTTTAAGTAGTTCATTCTTCAACCTCAGCCTGCCAAGAGCAAAGGCTAGGAGTTGATAGGATCACAGATTTAGAACTGGAAGGGACGCAACTTTCATTTTACTGAGGAGGAACGGGAGACCCCAGAGAGGTAAAGCATTTGCTGAAGTGGCAGAGTTAGGACTTGAACTTCTGGTCTTTTGGGCAACTGATGTAGGAAATTCATCATGTAACCAAACTTGTATACAGTTAAATATTTAATGCTATTTGTATTTAGTCATTTTTCAATTGTGTCTGACTCTTCTTGGTTTTCTTGACAAAGATACTAGACTGGTTTGCCATTTCCTTCTCCAGCTCATTTTATAGATGAGGAAACTGAGGCAAAGAGGGTTAAAGTGACTTGCTCAGGGTCACACAACCAGTAAGTGTCTGAGGCCAGATTTTAATTCAGGAAGATGAGTCTTCCTGACCCCAGGTCCAGCATCCTATCCACTCTACCACCTGTTGGTATGTCTGACCTATGTCATGCAGTTGCCTGTTATGTCATCTATAGGGTTGACCCTACACAAAATTGTTAAGGACAAAATTTGCCTTGGGTTTTCTCCCCTCCTCCTCTCATATGCTTTGTGACCTCATGCTACCCCTAGAATCCTCATAAACTAATCCTTATGGATATATATGTATATAATACATACATATATGTAATTTTGAATTCTGACGGTTGGAGAGATGGGAAGTGTTTCAATTTACCTATTTGTGTTTTCTACTTTCTGGGAACTTAAAAACTCTGGGAAAATTGTCTAACACGCACATAAATTAGAAAACGGTGGGAGATAATATATAATCCAACTATTAGATTGTATGAGACAGATTGTAAGGGGGGTGGGATTTAAAGAAGGGGGAAATGAGGGTGGGGTCATGGCATTGCAGCTGGAGGTTCGATTGATGTCAAGATTCCCAGCTGGCTGATGACTGTGGAATTGGAAGAATGGAAAAGAGAACTAGTCCAGAGATACTTCTGGAGTAAATCCCAAATTTGGCTTGAGTGTGTCTGAAAAGTAGAGACTTTTTCCTGGGACCAGGAGTGGAGAATGCACAGCAGAGGAATCAAGATGGCCAGAGTTGACCTACAGAAACTTTTGTATATGTATAGATTAGGAAACACTGCAAGCTTTCTAGGCTGGGAATAAGTTGCATTTGGACACAATCCTAACTACTTTATTATATTATTTATACATTTGTATATATATATGTGTGTGTGTGTGTGTGTGTGTGTGTATGCACATATGTATATATATGCATATATGTATATATACACATACACACATATGTGTATGTGTATATATACATATACACACATATGTATATATGTATATATTCATTCTCTTCACCTATAAATAAGCCCTAGAAAAAGCATTCTGTGGCCTGGAAGAAGTATAGAGGCAGTGAGTGGACAGGAAAAAGATGGTGATCAGATAATTAGGATCTTTCAACCTAAGGAGCCAACCTGGTTTAGGGACCCAGGGAGGCCTTAAATTGGAGTGCATTGATCATTGGAATTGAGTGGTAGAGGAAATTTTACAGGGCTAAAGACAAGGTACGGATTCTAAGGAAAGGCTTTGAGAACTGACAAGAGAATCTGAGCTTATGGCCCAGTGCTGAATTTTGGTATCTTTTAAACTGGGCTTAGATTGCTGTAGAGCTTAATTTAAAATTTACAATTTTAATAGGAGCATTGCTTTAACCAAAGTAAGTGTATCTTCTGATGGAACAGGCCCCTATAAAAGGTATTTTGGGTAGGAGGTTTTTTAGCACCCCTGAAAATATGTCATCAGTAGAGTGACAGGCTTTCTATGTGATTATGTCAGTGTTAGCCAGTGTTACAGATACTGTATCAACAGAGAGAGTTTACACACCAGGAGTTCCCTACATTGATCATAGTCACAAGTCTCAAACAAAAAAAAATCACCCTCCTTATCCAACAGTGACCCATAGATAGATACAGGTCTTTCAGACTAGAAGGACTCCTTTCTAAGGTTGAGAGCCTATTTGATTTTAGACACAGTTCTTGATTATATGATTTTCCATTGGAAATTTTTAATTCTAATTTTCCTCAGGTAATAGCAAATGCTTGCACACCACATTAGACTGGGAGAACTGGTTGATCCTAGGGAATCATATATAGCCAAGAGGCAGAGATAGAAGTATCCTTTAGACCAGTGATGTCAAATTCAAATAGAAATTGATTCCTGCTGTTTACATATTGACTTTAAAAACTGCACATTATCTGCATTGTATTGTACTTTTGTTGATTGTTAAACACTTCCCAAATACATTTTTATCTGGTTTAGGCAATATTCTGGAGTTTTGCAAGTTTGACACCTCTGCCTTAGAAGATCATGGATTTTTGGAGTTACTTAATTCAAAGTTCTGTAAGCAATTAGTTTAAATCATGCTAGTAGGCTGTGATAGTATCACCAGAGGTGAGGATCACATAGCACACTTGGGAAACTCAGTGAAAGGGCTAGTAAAACCTATAATTCAATAACCAGACTTTTTTTAAGAGCCTTCAGAAGCTGTCTGCTTCCTACTTTTGCAGTCTCATGCTTTACTCCTTCCATGTGCTTTACTATTCCATTACACTGGCTTTGTGGCTGTTCTTCCCATATAACATGCTATATCTCAGCTCCCTGCCTTTCACTGGCTGTCCCCATGCCTGGAGTGCTCTTCCTTTTCCCCACTGCCTCTTGGCTTCCCTGGACTTAACCCAAATCCCCCTTCTGTAAGAGGCTTTTTCTGTTTTGCCTCATCCTCTCCAATAAGTGCCTGCTTTCTGAGATTGCCCCCACATTTAGACTATGCCATATGTCTTGTGGGCAGCTAGAAAGATTCATCTCCGAGTTCAAATCTGGCCTCAGACTGTACTAGCTGTGTGACCCTGGACAAGTCACTTAACTTTGTTTGCCTCAGTTTCCTTATCTGTAAAAAGAGAGAAGGAAATGGCAAATCACTCTAGTATCTCTGCCAAGAAAACCCAAAATGGGGTCGTGAAGAGTCAGAAATGACTGAAAAGTAAATACAAGTCTTGTAACAAAGTGGTTTGCATGTCATCTCCATTAGAATGTGAGCTCTTTGAGGGAAGGGACCATGTTTTTGTCATTCTTTGTATCCATAGTACTTCACACAGTACCAAGAACATAGTGTTTAATAAATGCTTGTTAATGATGGATAACCCCTGAGTTAGGTGGTACAGTGAATAAAGCATGGGGCCTAGAGTCAGGAAGACTTTAGTTTAAATCCAGTGATAGATTTAAAACACTTAACCTGCTTGCCTCAGTTTCCTCATCTGTAAATGGGGATAATAACAGCACCTACCTCCCAGGGTTATGAGGATCAAGTGATACTATTTGTGAAGTGCTTAGCACAGTGCCTGGCACATAGTAAACAACATATAAATTTTAGCTGTTATTATTATTACTACTAAAGTGCATTTTAGTAACTGAACAGTGTGGCATAGTATAGAGTGCTGGATTTGGAGTTTGAGGACTCAGATTCCAATCCTAGCTTCACCACCTCTGTGAAATCAGGGAAGTCACCGCTTCTCTCTAGACCTTAATTTCAACTGGTTGGACTCAATGAACAGGAAGGTTCCTTGCAGCTCACAGGTCCTCAGCCCAAATCCAGAACTCCTTGAAAATGTCTGTTCTCTGCCAATTCCTAAATTATCTGCCCTCTATTTATCTTGATAGCTTCCATTATCTGTATGGAAAGAACCACTCCTGGCTTTTTAAATCATTGGCACAATGTCACTATACATATTTGGTAAATAGTACTGATGATGAAGAAACCTTATGGAAGCCTTTAATACCAGAATTTTGTTGGGTGAACCTTTCATAATAATGATGTTTCTAAAATGAATGTTACAACACAGCAAATGTGCATATTGTCATTTTATTTGCATTAGAAAAAATAGGTTTTGTCATTTAGAAATTTTTGGTCCATTGACTTCTTTCTTTTTTACTTTTTTTCTTTCCATTAACTTCTGCCACACACCCCGGAATTTCAATTAGACCAACAGTGGAAATTCTTTAAAAAGAAGTTGATAGTTTTTTGAGGGATTTGCCACTTTTAAATCCTTAGCATTACATGCAACTATTTGAAAGAATGTATAAAGTGATTTTTTGGTTAATTTTACTTACAAAATTAGAACATCAGTCAAATATTTCTCAGATCATGAATTTAGTAGAATTTAATTCCATAAATGTTATTTTCTCCCTCTCAGATATAAAACAATCCACAATTCCTGGGGAAAATCTTTTCCCTGCATTTCCTGCTACTCTTTGCTTTTATTTTTGTAGAGAGATACTATTATTTCCATGCCCTACCTTTCCCTTTCAGTTAGTGTGGCTGTATGTATTATCA